AAAGACTTGTGTCGCTTGAGTTTCGTCGGAACGAAGTTACGGAAAATCAATTAACACACGGAGACGTAACAATACTATTCTTACTAGAAACTCGTATAGTACACCTAAAGAAAGATAGAATTAAAATTATTATCAGCTTTCTTGAGAAATATCTTCAGTTTGCGAGGTAACCAAAACAAAACCTATTATAAACATAATTATATATCATAATAATAATTTCTAACAAATCTTTCTTTTTGAGCACTAAACCATGCCCACGCCAACACATCAAGCACTCTTGGTCAGAATGTGTGTTACATACCATATCTAAAGTTGTATTTTATATACTCTAAATATCTGCATACAGTGCACAATTTTTCCAATTTTTTTGGCTCAAATATGAAGTGCGTACTATACGAGGGAATGGCATTCTTCCAGTATTTTTCAGGTGAAATTTTCAGTCCAAATGTTGCCTCAACAAATCTTGTATTCTGGCGTAATCATCGTTTGTCGCTGTCGGATCACCGGAAGTAAAAAAAAAGGAACCACAACGAAGAGGAATAAACAAAAGCCTGAACTCTTGACATTTATCTTTTAGGCTTCAAGTCATACATGAATAACGGGTCTGATTTGTCAACTATAAGATCTGCACAGTTTATATGCTGATATTTACTAATAATAATAAGTCAATATAATGGAGCAAAACGTATTTGATTTTTGAAAGCTTTTTGTTCTGAGTCGTAAGATGATTTTACTATCCTCTGCTACAATAAATTCATTAACATTCAATCGTAGTCACTCCCATGTTTAACGTACAGAGCATTGTTTAAAAATACATATTCAAGAATTACAAGTGATCATAAGTTCAGCCTTTGTTTGTTCATTAAGTAATGCGGTTAATTAGCTGGCAATAATATTCATCCACACGCGCACGTACAATTTCTAATCAATACAATAATACACCATTCATTATACTGTTAGAATTGCTCTGCGCACTATACAGGGGCATACAGGTTTTTTTCTTCTTAGTATGGGAGGCCAATAAAATATACTGTGCACTATGCGAGGGTATTTACGATACATTGTTCAACGTTACATATTATATTATTGCGTTGAGCGCAACGTTCATTGTTTCAATTTACAGGCTAGATCGGTGATTTAGGTAAAATGAACATTATCTAGTATTGTACTAAAGCTCTGATTGTTTGTGTGTGTCCTTGTCTGTAATTGCATTGGCTATTATATTATTTCCCTGTCAATGTTCCCATCTTCATTAAAAGGCGTAAGATGACGAAAACAAGATCTTGAAGAATCTATCTATATACTACTAAAACTCTAAGATTGTTTGTTTGTTTGCTTATTTTCTCAGTCAAAAAATCATTCACACTACCGTTCGCGCTCTTTACGAAACTTCTTACTTAATTTTTTTGAAAAATGAAATGGTCTTTCTTTTTACTCCCGATCAACAATCAAATATATTTTCTTGAATTATGAATAACACGAATGGATTGAAATATTTAATTAAATTATATCAAAATAAACCTTCATTTCGGTGCAATATTGAAATTAGCTTGAATTCTTCATAATCTCTGAATAGTGGTTGACCCAACGAGTCACGGTGGTCTAGTATACAAAAGTTGCCCAACATTAGTAATTAGGTTATTAAGTTAAATACTATACACACTGGCTTATAGGTTAGAGTCAAGTAAGATATGAAGTGTTTTGTCAAACGTACCACATTATATTTTGGGACTGAATCCAACATACATTGGCTGATGTTAAATATTGCCATTACTGTGTAAAGTTATCTACAGTAACGAATCGTCCACATGCTTAGGAGGTAAAAATATTTGTTACTTATATGTTAAAGCCTCAATAGAAATACGCGTTACAATGGTAATGCGAAATAAGAATATTTTATAAGGGTATCACATAACTTTATAGGTTAGGGTTAGTCAACTAAAAACTTCAACATAATTTACTAACTTTGGGTATTTGCATGAAGTTCAATAAAATAACGGAAGTGATTGAAACATAAGATAGACTACCTTAAAAAGTTCTCAACACTAAGGTTTATTAATTTGGTAAATATCCAAGCCATAACACAACACTTCTTGCTAGCTAGATGAATAAGCTTCCAAAGCGTTCGCTAACACCAAGTGCACATGGATAACTTTTTTGGCCTTGGAAACAAAACGCTAAATCGTTTCTCTGTTACTTGGCTCCGAATTTAGCAATGACGTTTTACGGTGCTACGCAAGCTACCTAGTTGAATGTTTATAAAAATCCGTGTTCTTTCTCACAGCCTTTTTATTTTTTTGCCTATTTGTTTCAGCTCCATTTTATTTTTTAATATTTATATTGTATTCAGTTTATTTGTTTGAAGTGAAAAGCTATGACATACTTTCCAAAAAACTAAAATAATACAATTTATGATTAGTGATTTACCATCGAAAAATAAATGTAACATAGTAATAATTAAAACCTGACTACTTTTCCTGTGCAACGAGTGAATCTATTTCTGCACGTTTTTCAGTGTAAATCTGAAACGGTTACAGAGATCAATGTGTTTAAAACCATTTTAGTGTATAATGTGGTTGCGAATGCCTAAAAATACTTAAATGTAAGGAAATCACGCTTTATCTTGGGTATCGAAAGCTCAGTCGTGTCTTGTGTTAGTCTTATTATTCTGCAAAGAAATTAATACTTCACAAGTTTATTAAACGCCCCTAACACTACTTCAGGTGATAGCCCTGAAGTGTTGAAAATATTACATGCACTATAAAATTATTTTAATTGGAAAAATAAGTTTTTTCTTCTTCTATCACCAGGCTCAAAGTTCATGTTTTTCCATGCTGTATATGATTTTGTTTTAGTTCACTTTTTGAGATTTTTTACTCTTACAATTGCCTTTTTATTTGCTCTGAAAACTTTCTTCGGTGCTCGCGATTTACTTTATCCTTTTAAGTACAGATTTCCTTTACAGGGATAGACTGGTCATAACTGGGTCGGTGCAATCATTGGGGCGGTTCGTCGGTTTTAACCGAGGGCTAGCCCGCTGGACTATTAATATACACTGGAAATAAAATTATTAAGTAATTTAATGTAAAGTTCTGATCTTATAACTGTTACTTAATATCCGGTCCAATAGCCAAGAGGCCAGTCCAATAGTCAAATCACAGCCCCCCCCCCCAACTCCTCCTTTACATACACGGAAATATATATTTTTAACCTACAATGAGTCTTAAGATTTTGGTAATAAATTAGGTCTTCTCCGCTGTGCACAGTAGGTATACAGAGTGACTTTGTACAAATAAAATGCAACAAACTGAAGATATGATCAGTGGCGTAGCAAGAGGGGGGCAGTCGCTCCCTGGCGCAGGTGTGAGGGGCGTAAAATTTCTTCTGGCCTATAATGCCTATTAATTAATA